GCTCTGCCATCCGTGATTCACAACAACCAACGTCTCCTATAGGTTTCCTATTCTGAAACTTCCGCCACCGCCTTGTGCGGTACTACTGGTATATGTATGTATTTACAATTTCCGGTATATATTATATAGACACCACCTGAAGAAACTCATGGGTTTCAGTCCTGTTTGCCGCCACTGGAGTGCCAGGAGAAGCTGAAGGCTGCGAATTCAAGGCTTGGCAACCAACAGTGACTGGTAGCAGCCTCACCGGCAGACCTCGCAGGAAATGTTTCGGTTTCTGATGGTTTATGATCATTCTAAGTGACACCTTAGGGATGATTCTGTTGTGTGCAGAACCGGGCCAAAGGACACCTGTCACCTGCAGCCGGTCATAAGTTGCCAACCAGATTGATCCGAAGAACGGGTCCTTCAAATAAGAACGAAGCAATGGTCGACCCAACTTGACAGCTGGGGATCGTCTCAAAATGAATCTGAAAGGCGCATCCGAAGGACAGAATGTGGTAAATAAACGGTAGCCGGTAGCCCTGGTTTTCGGTATGGTCATCGCGCCTTTTTGAGACACCCATTTTTGGCGACGCAGCGGTGACGAAGCACCCGCCTTTTTTCACCTGCTACTGCCGTTGCCCACGCTGTCACGTTGGCATTGAAGCCTGTGCTCCTTGGAGAAAAAGTGTTTCTGGTGGAACGGGATCTTGCCCTCAAAGGTGGTCATTCAGGCAAAACACGATTGTACATCGTTACGCGCTTGCACATTTTGCGGGTTTGCAGCCCCATCAGTGTGGTGGTTTTGTGAGCTCATGTCGTCCAACCAGTCCATATAGCCAGGAGCCGCGGCGACATTTCTTCGGCCACACTCGGCCCATTGAAGTTCTCGAAGGGTCCGATGATGGGTTGGGGGACTCAGCATGGCCATGGAAAACGGATTTTCTGTTGCAGGGTGGATTGACCCCTTCGCTGGGCTTGGCTAACCAGCCCTGGAAGTGTGGAAAAAGGGGTTTCAATGATGCCAAAAGTTCAGCATTTGCTATTTAGCCACCATATCATGATTGCGTTGCTTGTCCCCTTTGCAGGTTGAAATTTAAAGGAAGCAGATGTCAAAACTGTCAAAACTTTCCGACGGGGGAACACTTTTTAAAGTAGTTAATGGTACCCAAGAGCTTGACTCATGGGGAATATGCGGTATATGCCCATTCCTATTGGATAAACCCGCCCCGTGTGCGGGTTGCGCAACGCTGGCGCAGTTGGATCATTTGGATCATCTCGGACTGTCGCTGGTAAAATTTGGAATTTCCAATGGCTTGACCGGTGGCTGATGAGGTGGGTTGCTATACAGTACATGGCCTTTCTAAGACTGATGTGGCAACGACTTTCCTGCTCAAGTCTAGCGTGTTGTAAGGATTGGGTCCCCAGGTTGTTTGGTTTAATCATCCAGGGTTCCCAAACTAAGTGGTGGGGTGTTGGCCGTCCTGCGCACTGCCACGACAGTGGCCTGCCTACCGTCTTTCTGGCCCTTGCCCTTGGACTTTCTCTGGGCTTCATCTTTGGTGCTTGTGCTTGCCTGTGGATTTTTGGATTTCTCGGCTCAGCACAACACCAACCTTCGCAGCTCCGGCAACCCAGTGATCGAGTGCCAGCCTACTTGACTGAGACAGGGGCCCTTGCGAGGTTCAAGCAACGACGGGATTAACCTGGCTGTCCAAGTCCAGGGCCTGGGCATCACTGTTTCTGGGCCATCTGCAAGGGCTTTGGGCTTTGTAGTAAGACTACAGAAGCGAACAACTTTCACAATAAAGTAAAAGACTGTATAAAAAATGTACAAGAAAAAATAGAACATATTCACCGGCTTTCTCCGCAATATCAAGGCGGTGCAGCCCAGCCTGCGACTGCCTCAATTAGTGCCTCTGCATCGCCTGGGCTCCCTGATCCAATTGATTGTCCTGCTCAGAGAGGCTTTCAAGGTTGTAGGAGCAGAGGTGCTGTCTGACGAGCAAGCCCGCAGATGCAATGGCACTTTCGTCAGCGCCCCTGCTGCAAAGAGGCTTCCTATGATCTGCCTGGCTCTTGCTGCAGCCAGATTGCCTTGCATCAGCAAATCCCTTGCGGCGAGGATTGCAGGAAATTGGGTTTCTATCTTCATGTGCCGCCACCCACTATGCTGCATCCTCAACGGCATTTTTGCTTTTGGATCAAAATCCCTTGCTGACACAGATGATGTTGTTCCCTTGCCCAGGAGGGTTGCTGAGGAGCTGGCTTTCCAAAGGAGCTTTCACCCCTCTTGACATTGGAAGTGATCTTGCTAGTGCGATTTGGCTTGGCGGTGACAAGAGAGGTTCCTACACAATGCTTGACTCCCCTGTGCGACAGATGCTTAGACGAAGGCGCAGGATTTCAGATTTGATGCTGTTGAGATATGTGGTGGATCTGGCGTGTTGTCAGCGGCTCTGATGAAAGAGGGCTTGACAGCCCGCACCCCAATTGACTTCTCTAGGAATGAGCACTTCAACCTTCAAAACATCAAGCTCACCGACTGGATCTTTCAGATGATTTTTGGAAGGAGGTTCAAGGGGGTAGTAGTCGAACCTGTCTGCACTACAGTCTCCCCAGCGCAGCATCCTGCATCGCCTTGGCAACTGCATCGCCTTCAGATGCCTGGCAATACTGTGGTTCTCCTATCTGCACGGTGAACTTGGACTTCTGGAGCAGCCTTTGCTCTCGAAGATGGCGTGGCTCTCAATTTGGATTTATTTTCAGAAGATTGGACTTTCTGAGGCACACATTGACTCGTGTGCCTTTGGATCGCCGCATCGCAAGCCCTTTCGACTGCTGGGGCACGGATTTGACGTTGGCTCTCTCAACGTGCGGTGTAGTGGTGGTCACAAGCACGTCCGCATAGAGGGCAAGTTCACCAAAGCTAGCGCAGCATACCACCCAAATCTTGCAGCCTTCATTGCCAAGAAGATTGCCCAGCGTCTGAAGATGAGAAACACAGATGGTGAGAAGGAGGGAACAAAGCTCGAGAGCGTTGTCTTGAACGACTTGCTGCAAAGGCCTGGTTGGAAAGTTGAAAATGGCTGGTTCTGGAAAAAGCCTGTCCATATGTTGGACTTTACAGGTTTTTGCTCTTGAAAGGCGGAGACAGGAGGTTCACAGCCCTGATGGACTCAAGGGTCGCCAAGCGAGCAATTGCCAAGGGCCGCTCCTCTGCCAGAGCACTCCGCCCTACATTGCTCCGAGCCTGCTCCTACGACATTGCAGGAAATCTCCATCATTCACTTGGATTTGCACCAACCAGGCTGAACACAGCTGACGCTCCGACACGTGAAAAGCCTTTATCCATGCAATGGAGATGCTCCATTTTGGATTTTTGCTCTCTTGGTCAGCCAGTCACTATCCACTCACATCAGTTCTCCAGAGCGGCCGCAGGATGGATTCGGCTTTACATCCTTGTGGCTTTCTGTCTCTGTCCTGGTGAGGGGTGCTGGATTTCCATTGCTGCCTTGGATTTTGTGCTGCCTCTTCCTTGGATTTGCCTGGCCACACCATGCCACACCCCTCGTTCTCGTGGGCTTTCTCCTTGGGACCCTGGAATATGGCTTTTCCTAATAAGTGGGTACAACCGGGGATAATCCAATCCGTAGCCCTATTAGCCAGTCTCGACCTTGGTTCCGCCATGCCGTTGCAGCCAACTGGAACTGAAGAACTGCGGAGAGCGGATAGAAGATTTGGTCGACAGCTTCAAGCTGACCGCGTGATTCTGCAACAGACCAGGTCTCGATGCGAAGTTCTGCTGGCAGAGTTTGACATCTGGCTCGGTGAGAACTAGAGATAATTAGAGATATACCCTCGAGGAATTGATGGGGGGAAATCATGTTGACGGCGAAGCGGTTTGTGAAGCGCTCGTTGGCTTTGGAAAAGGTATGGACAAGAGCTATGGAAAGTCCTCTGAAACGATCAACGCAGGCACAGCTCGACGCTCTGCGCTGCGAAAGCAAGTTTCAGCCGCATAGGACTTAGCTTTAACTGGGTTATACAGATGAGCCTCATGAACATCATGCTGCAATGCTGCCTTACCAGTTTCCATCATGATAGCATGCATTGGTGTGGCAATCCTTGGGGATGGCTTCGTGAAGGAGCCTTAATTGCAATGACATGGGCTGGAGTTCTCAGAGTTGGAGAAGCGCTTGCAGCTGCCAGGTCCGACCTGATATTACGTCGAGACGCAGCCCGGGAACTCTTGGAACTTTGTTACAAATTAGGCTCCCAAAGACAAGAGGCCGAGCCGCCAGGCATCAGTCGTCGCGCATAGAGCCTGATGACGTGGTGCTTCTCCTTGACCTGGCCTTTCGCCGGTTGAACCCAGATGAACAGCTCTGGCCTTGGTCACCATCGAAGCTGAGACGGAGGTTTGCTTTGCTGCTTGCGGCACTTGGCATCGCTGACAGCCAGGGTTGTAGTCATGTCAACCTTAGCAGTTTGCGACCTGGAGGAGCCACGCACTGGCTGGCGCAGACAGAAGATGCGGAGTTTGTCAGGCCAAGAGGGAGGTGGCTGAGCACACGAGTTCTTGAAATTTACTTGCAGGAGGCCCCAACGGGGACATACCAGAAAAGACTGACTAGCGAGCCAAAAAGCCGAATCCAGGACCTCTGCAACTTTTTCCCCAAGTCCTCCAGAAAGCTCAGTTTTTTCAAAGCAACACATATACCAGAGGAAGCATGGCCAAAATTGTGGTGATGCTGGGATGATGGAAGTATGGCATGAAATACAATACAACTCCAACAATGAGTTGTCGTATCACCAGAGAACAACCCAGCGGATGCAGGGAAAACAGTGTGAGCATGAAGTCTTATATAATCATACCGTTACCTGTATCTATGGTTCAAGATTAAACGCTATATATATATATGAATAGATCTGTATATAATTATATATGATACCACCTTTCTCTATGGTGAAATGGTGGTTTACTGATATTATCTATACACACACAATAATATATATGTATATATATATATAATATTCACACATCTTATCTTTATCTATGGTTAAAATCTCAAGCATATCCCCATGCCCCAGGCATTGGTTGGCCTCTGTGCAGGGCACCGTCGCTGGTGTCCCAGTGCTGCGCCTCTGGCGCACGACCGGGAGAGGTGCCGATGCGGATGGGGAGCAGCTTGAAATCTCATGTCATATTGGGATGACACCCAGGAATCTGGATATCTGAGGATTATGTGTAAATAGATAAATATGCATACTTACACACATACATATATACATATATACACATATATACATATATATATATACACATATACATATGTACATATATACACGTATACATATATACATATGTACACATATACATATATACATATTTACAAATACATATACATTTACACATATACATATATACATATACACATATCACATATATACATATACATAATTGTGTATATACACACACATATATATATATTTATACATAGATACACACACATATATATTTATATCTACACATTTAAACACACACACACACAGATATATATATATATATATAAATACCATGTATATATGCATACAAATATGCACTTGTAGTGAACATTGTTCTATATATATATATATATTGTACACTCAATTCTTGTCTATCTTTTTTTGTGTGAGCAAGATGGATACCAAAATTTTGATGAACATCAAGCTATACTAGCCATTGTGATGCGAACTGCAGGGTGCCAGGGTTGTGACTCATAGCCCACTGGCCATATAAAAGGGTGCAGGGATGGAGGGTACTGGATGCGTTACCCTGGGGCATGGGGCAAACAAACATGGCTGAATGGAAAATGCCATGTAAAGGAGCATTGAAATGGGACATGGGGAAAGATACAAAAATCGAAAGGACAGGTTTGACCCATTTGAAAAGGAGGGCATTTTTTTTTGGTTTTCTGGTTTTCCAGCCTGGCTTTGTGGCTTTTGTGGCTTCTGTGGCTTCTGTGGTTTTTGTGGGTGTGTGTGGCTTTTGTGGCTTTACCATGCTTTACCTGCTTAACCTATCTGTCTAACCTAACCTAACCCAACCTATAACCTAATCTAACCTAATATTATCTCATTTTGTCCTATTTTCTCTTGCCTTATCTTGTTTTTTTCTATTCTATCTAATCTATCTAACTTATCCAACCTATCTAACCTATCTAATGTATCTAATCTACCAAATCTATCAAACCTATCTAATCTATCTAACCTAATCTACTTAACCTATCTATTAATCTATCTATTTAATCTATCTATTTAGTCTATCTATTTAACTTCTCTGCCTATTCCATCTGTCTATTAACCTATCCATTTAATCTATCTATTTAGTCTAATCTAATCTAACCTAATCTAATCTAACCTCACCTAACCTAACCTCATCTAATCGTACCTGACCTAATCTAATCTATCTATCTTATCTTTCTTATCTATTTTATCCATCTATCGATCTGTCTATCTATCTATTTGTCTATCTATCTATCTATCTATCTACCTATCTACCTATCTACCTATCTACCTATCTACCTACCTACCTATCTATCTATCTATCTATCTATCTTTATATACGCACCTTGTATCCCTACATGTGCCTTAATCAAACCCTCAACAGACTTTAAATCGACCAAAAACCAACTCTAAATAACCATAAATAGCACTAAATAACACTAAATTACTCTAAGCCAACCATAAACCAACCCAACATAACCCTCCCTAAATAAACTTTAAGCCAACCCTAAACTAAATAACTTTAAGCCAATCCTAAATAAACCCTAAACTAATCTTAAATAAACCCTAAACCAACCCTAAACAAACCCTAAACCAACCCTAAATAACACTAAATAAACCCTAAACAAACTTTAAATAAACTGCACACCAATTCTAAATAAACCCTAAACCAACACCAAATAAACCTTAAACCAAACCTAAACATAACCTAAATGAGCCTAAACCAACCCTAAATAAATCTAAGCCAACTTTAAATAACCCTAAAAAAACCCTAAACCAACCGTAAATAAACACAACCCCAACCCCAAATAAACTTTAACCATCCCGAAACCAAGCCTCAATACACACTAAACCAACCCTAAATAAACCATAAACAAACACCAAATAAACCCTAAACCAAACCTAAACATAACCTAAATGACCTTAAACCAACCATAAACCAAGCCGAAATAAACCCTAAACCAACCCTAAATAAATCTAAGCCAACCCTAAATAACCCTAAATAAACCCTAAACCAACGGTAAATAAACACTAAACGAATCATAAAATAACACTAAATAAACCCTAAACCAACCCGAAATAATCCCTAAACCAACTTTAAATAAACCCTAAACCAACCAACACTATGATAGCATCCAATGCCACTATTTAGACCCGACACGGTTGTGTTTCAACCTATCTTGTACATGTTCACCAGGTGCATGTTATGCATGCAAAAAATCGATATAACCGGGGAAAAATCAATTGAAACTGCGTGATGACACAAATTCCATGCAGTACCCATTTCAATTTTTCGATTTATGTTTTGCACAATTCATCATGTATCCTTAAGTGGATGTCAATCAACCTGCATTTGGGCCGTGCGCAGCCCTTTTACATGTCAGCCTGGTCAAAAGCAGAGCAGCTGCCGAACGTGAGGTGGCAGTTGAACTCGCAGGTCTTTTGGACTGGTGGGACTCTGAAACAGGGTTTTCGTGGTCGGTGCCTATTTGGTGGTAACTGGTCTGGACCTGTTGTGTTTGGTGCCAAGGTTTGGGGCATTTCAGAACAGGTAGAAACAATAGAAACCTCAATGAAAACCATGGAAAAATCGATCACAACTTTGGGTAAATCAATGAACACCATGGAAAAACCGGCTAAAACCATGGAAAAATCGATGAACAGTGCAGATGACACATTTTAGCTCCAAAATTCAGCTCAGTAGAGGTTTTTGCTCCAAAATGTAGCAAATAGCAGGGAAGTGCCCCAGACTGAAAAACAAAAAACAAGATACGAACCCGAATGCTCACACGTATGTTAATGGTACAGATGTCAAAAACACATGGTTATGCAGTCACGCACAATACCTTTCTGCAATAGTTTATTTGAACAGTCTTGTACATGTTTCCCTTGTTACCAGTCTGCAGTGTGGAGTGGAAAGTGTAGAGTGTGGAGTGTGGAGTGTGAAGTAAGGAGTGTGGAGTGTAAAGTGTGGAGTGGGGAGTGTAGAGTGTGTAAAGTGTAGAATGCGCAGTGTAAAGTGTAGAGTGTGGAGTATGGACTGTAAAGTGTAGAGTGTGGAGTGTGGAGTGTAAAGTGTGGAGTGTGGAGTGTAAAGTGTAGAGTGCGGAGTGTGGAGTGTAAAGTGTGGAGTTTAAAGTGTGGAGTGAGGAGAGTAAAGTGGAAAGTGTGGAGTGTAAAGTGTGGAGTGTAGAGTGTATAGTGTAGAGTGTAAAGTGTAGAGTGTGGAGTGTGGGGTGTAAAGTTTGGAGTGTAAAGTGTAGAGTGTGGAGTGTAAAGTGTGGAGTGTAAAGTGTGGAGTGAGGAGTGTAAAGTGTGGAGTGCGGAGTGTGGAGTGAGGAGTGTGGAGTGTGAAGTGTGGAGTGTAAAGTGTGGAGTGTGGAGTGTGGAGTGTAAAGTGTGAAGTGTGGAGTGAGGAGTGTAAAGTGTGGAGTGTGGAGTGTAAAGTGTGGAGTGTGGAGCGTAAAGTGTAGAGTGTGGAGTGTGGAGCGTAAAGTGTAGAGTGTGGAGTATGGAGTGGAAAGTGTGGAGTGGAAAGTGTAGAGTGTGGAGTGTGGAGTGTAAAGTGACGATTGTAGAGTCTGGAGTGAGGAGTGTAAAGTGTGGAGTGTGGAGTGTAAAGTGTGGAGTGTAAAGTTAGGAGTGTAAAGTGTGGAGTGAGGAGTGTACAGTAAAGTGTGGAGTGTGGAGTGCGGAGTGTGGAGTGGAAAGTGTGGAGTGGAAAGTGTAGAGTGTGGAGTATGGAGTGTAAAGTGACGATTGTAGAGTCTGGAGTGAGGAGTGTAAAGTGTGGAGTGTGGAGTGTAAAGTGTGGAGTGGAAAGTCTGGAGTGTGAAGTGTGGAGTGTAAAGTAAGGAGTGTGTAGTGTAAAGTGTGGAGTGTAAAGTGTAGAGTGTGGAGTGTGGAGTGTAAAGTGTAGAGTGAGGAGGGAGGAGTGGAAAGTGTAGAGTGTAGTGTAAAGTGTGGAGTGTGGAGGGTAAAGTCTCAGGTGAGGAGTGAGGAGTGTAAAGTGCAAAGTGTAATGCGTGGAGTATAAAGTGTAGAGTGTGGAGTCTAAAGTGTAAATTGTAGAGTGTGGAGTGTAAAGTGTAGAGTGTGGAGTGCGGAGCTTCCCCCATAGATACGGCGACGCCATAGGAAAACCAGAGACTCGAGACGAGACACGTGGGTGCAAAAAAACGAGCATTTCGTGCGAGACTTCCTCCAATTTTGATATTTCCCACACGTTATCAAACAGGTTGGAATGTCACAAAGTGCCACGCCTGCCACGCGAAACGACATGACAACCTGCTTGGACACATTCGAATAGGATATGTTTTCCAGCTTCCCCCATAGACGCGGCGACGCCACAGGAAAACCAGCGACTCGAGACAAGACACGTGGATGCAGATGCAGAAAAACCATCATTTCGTACGAGACTTCCTCTAATTTTGACATTTGCGACGCATTATCAAACAGGTTGGAATGTCACAAAGTGCCACGCCTGCCACGCAAAACGGCATGACAACTTGCTTGGACACATTCGAAGAGGAGAGGTTTTCCAGCTTCCCCCATAGACAAGGCGACGCCACAGGAAAACCAGCGACTCGAGACAAGACACGTGGATGCAGAAAAACCAGCATTTTGTACGAGACTTCCGGCAATTTTCACAGTTGGCAACATGACAAAAGGACAGGTTTTGCAGCTTGCCCCATAGACACGGCGAAGCCACGGGATAACCAGAGACTCGAGACGAGACACGTACGAGCACCAAAACGAGCATTTCGTGCGAGACTTCCTCCACTTTTCACACTTTGTAGCTTCAAAATCGACGTTTTCCTGCGAGTTTTCCTTAGAACCTGAAAATTTGCAACCTCAAAATCGATGTTTCGTGCGAGGCTTCCGTCAATTTTCAGCACAT